CTCAAACGCCAGAACAGGATGGGGCTGTGAAGGTTTGTTTGCATTTCAATAAAAGCCTTCTTTGTCTACTGCTGTCCAGCAGTTCCCAAGCAGGCTAGTCTGAGGGAGAAAGCTGTGGCCCAGACTAACCTGCCACACCCCCACACCTGCCACAATGGGGGGAAAACAACCTCCACCCCCCACCCTCCTGAACCCCCCCACCCCCACCTAAGGCCCCACCCCACCCCCGCCTATGGCCTCTCTGCAGCTTCTTACAGGCAGGTTCCTGCAGAAGCGCTCTCCCCAGAGACCCTGAGTGGAGACACAGAGCCCCCCCCTTCATGTGACTGTCTTCATTGCAATATACGCAGTGACCCCACGTGTCACACAGGGGCAACCTGAACGTGGTGTCACCCAGGTGCCCACACAGGCCTGCCTCAGCTCCAAGGTCAGGGAATTGAGCCCCCTACAGCGTCCTCTGAAAGCGGTTCCCACCACTTTCCCACTTTCCAGGGGAGCCCTTTCTCCATTCTCACACCCACCGTGGGGTCCCAGTATTTGGGGACTCTTGTTTTCTGGACCCAGTCTATAACTTTGCTTTTTCTTGCCTATCCTCTCCTCCAGAACTCATCTCATCTCAAGCCCTCTCTTCCTCCTCTCTCCATCCCAGCATGCAGGAGCCCCAAGCGGGCTGGAGAGATGGCCCAGAGGTTAAGAGCACTGACTACTCTTCCAGAGGACCTGAGTTCAATTCCCAGCAACCACATGGTGGCTCACAACCATCTGTAATGAGGTATGGTGCCCTCGTCTGGCATGCAGATATGAATGCAGGCAGAATACTGTATACATAATAAATAGACCTTTTAAAAAAATCCTTTAAAAAAAAAACAAAAAGATCCCCAAGCCCCTCAGCAGTGCAGGTGCCAGGATGAGGCCCCCAGCTGCTCTCATTTCTCTTAGCCCTTCCTGGGGCCCCAGTCCAGAGGGACTTCTCTTCCCTGCCACCTCTGTACTGTAGTTCACAAACCTGCTTGGGGGAGCCATGTGCTGACTACAGGAGGTTCAGGGAGACCAACGACACTGGAGAAACCCCTCATGTGGATGGAGGTTGGCTCGCTGCCACCAGCCCAGACAGAGTGTGCCCCAGGCTCTGAGCTGAGAGGGGGAGAGGCAGAATCTGCTGGTCTCTGCAACCTCTCCAGGCCAAGTCACCAGCTAGACCCGTACAGCCTCTGCCACAGACAAGGTCGCTCTGGATGGTCACTATGCCATTTGTTGTGCTCCCAGCAGCCAGACCTCAAGGGTCCTGCCCATTGCCAGACAGAATGGCACATGCGTGTGTGGCGGGGTGTCATGAACGAATGACACCCCCGTCCCTCACATGTAGGCTTCCCTCTCTTGCAGGCCCCCTGCCTTCCCGGGAAGAATTTTCCCCAGCCTTCCTCAGGCCATTAATTCAGTGCCCTGACTCGTTCGGTTAATGAATAATTAGGCTGGACAGTGTCTGACCTCAGGCTGACCTTAGGTTCTCTGCTCCCCCCCACACACAGCTTCCCTTCCTGATGGAGTATGTGACCATTTCTGGCTGAGTCTTCTGCTGTTAGTGTGCTCTGAGCTCTGGAAATGAAGCAGACAGTGAGAAGCCTTGGACTCCATCATAAGGCCAGCCTGCAGGACACTCAGAGGCAGACTGGGCTGAGCCAGAGGAGCAGAACTGGGATCTGGCACCTGGCCTCCAACAAGTTCTGCCACTGATGCTGAACCTGGGTGACTCCTGTCCCCAGGAACCCCCACTGGGCCTCAGCTTCCCAATGCTCACAGGCAGGAATGAATCATACGGTCATGATTCACTCCATGGTGCAGTATACATGGGCAAGGGTGTAACGGTGGGAGCCAGAAAGGACCTCATAACCTCTTTGTCCTGTGAAAGTGGGCGGGCACAGTGACCGGCATGTCTGGCAGTACTACAGAGGGCAGGCGTCCTGACCCCTGGTCCTGGCTTCCTTTCCTGCAGGGCCTCATCCCTCCATTCTGATCTCCTCATCGCTCCATTCAGCCCTCGCAGGCTTGAAATGAGGAGCCAGAGGGCCTTCCCCTCCTTCCAGGAGAGAGGCTGGGCTGGGCCTCGCCCTCCTTGCTGAGATGGGAGAACAGAAGGGCAGAGGAGGCCAGAGCTCCTGGCAGAAGTGACTTTGTGGACACAGACTGTCCAAGAGGAGCACCCCGTGGGAGAATGACCAGCCAGCACGGCAGGACCGTGAAATGAACCCAAGGACACGAGACGGGGAAGGACTGAAAGCTAGAAGACCGGCGAGGTATCAAGTCTGGAAAGATGGGTGGGCATCACCCGGCAGGAGGTGACAGGGTATCTGAGAGGTGTGAGAAAGTTCTGCAAAGTCAAGAGGCTTTGACACTGATGGCCACCTCCGGCCAGAAGCTCATCATGCAGAGGGTTTATGGTGGTTTTCTTGGCTAAATTATTTATTTAGCGTCTGTGAGAGAGCCTCCTGTTTGTGTGTGTACATCTTCACATGCAGGCGTGTGGGTGCCAGCAGGGGCCGGAGGTCAAGGTCAGGTGTCTTCTTCCATTACTTCTTTATGACAAGCTCCTTCACCAGACCTCAGCCAGCTAAGGGGGAATTCTGCTTGTGCAGCCGGCCTGTTATCAACTAAGTCCCCAGCTCCCATGCTGCTATCTATTATATGCAGTGTGTGTGTGTGTGTGTGTGTGTGTGTGTGTGTGTTCTACAACATGCATGTGGAAATGCGATGACAACTTGCCTGAGTCGATTCTCTCCTCCTACTCTGTGGGTGCTGAATCTAACTCAGGTCACCAGACGCTGTCACCAGCTGAGTCACCTAGTAGGGCTTGATGCAGTTGTTTAATTTTTGTTATTGTTGCTGGTTTTTGTTTTGCTTTGTTTTTTTTTTTGAGACAGGGTTTCTTTGTGTAACAGCTCTGGCTGTCCTGGAATTCTCTTTGTAGACCAGGCTGGCCTAGAACTCACAGAGATCCACCTACCTCTCTCTCCTGAATGCTGGGATTAAAGGCGTGCACCACCATGCTTGGCTGATGCAGTTGTTTTTGAAAGGCCAAAGAATCATTAGAAAGGATTGGAGCACCGTGCCTGGTGCTCACACGGGCTTGGGAATGGTGCCTTCCCACCAGCCAGACCTCAGAACTGATGCTCTTTAGACCCTGGGCAGGGCGGCTTCTCAGATGTTCTGTAACTAGTCCTAAGTGAGCATTCTAGTCCTGCCTGATAAATCAGAAAACAAGACTCAAAAGGACAGATTGGTTCCCGAGGAACTGCTTTCCAGAACAATGCTGAAGGTTTACAGACACAAAAATATCCAAAATTTGCAGTGTCTGCCATCTAATAAAAAAATTGACAGTCATAACTGAATGCATTCGCACACAGCTATAATCCCAGCACTCAGGAGACACAGGCAGAAGCAGCCCAGCCTGACTTTGAGACCGACCTGCAGTACATAGCAGGATAAAAAGTAATAATAATAACGGCAGAGGTGTAGCTCAGTGGTGGAAAACAAGGCCACGGCTCAATCTCAGCGTGGGGCATAAACAGAATGCAATGGAGGGTTAAAAGAATGTCCTAGAAAGAAAAGAATGCGCTGGGTAGGATGCTGAATGGTTTTAGTCCTGGAGTTCAGGCACTGAGCAGGCTGAGGCAGGAGGATTGCAGTTCAATCCCCCCACCCCTTGAAAAGGACCCTGGAGCTCAGGCCCAGGTGGTCAATCTTGGCAGCAAGCACCCTTACCCTCCTTGCCATCTCCTTCAAGCCCTAAACTCAAGTCCGAGATGAAAAGTACATGGGGTATGATTAATGACATAGAGTAGCATATAAATAGATAAAATTATCCAAAAGCGGAAAAATAATCAGGAGGAGGAGGAAGACTGGATGCAGAGGAGAGCACGAGCCAGCAAGGTCACCCAAGCAGACAATACACATGTGACTGCAGGTCACCCCATCACAGAATACACATGTGACTGCAGGTCACCCAAGCAGACAATACACATGTGACTGCAGGTCACCCCAAACACACTATACACATGTGACTGCAGGTCACCCCAAACACACTATACACATGTGACTGCAGGTCACCCCAAACACACTATACACATGTGACTGCAGGTCACCCCAAACACACTATACACATGTGACTGCAGGTCACCCCAAACACACTATACACATGTGACTGCAGGTCACCCCAAACACACTATACACATGTGACTGCAGGTCACCCCAAACACACTATACACATGTGACTGCAGGTCACCCCAAACACACTATACATATGTGACTGGAGATCACCCAAACACACTATACACATGTGACTGCAGGTCACCCCAAACACACTATACACATGTGACTGCAGGTCACCCCAAGCACACTATACACATGTGACTGCAGGTCACCCCAAACACACTATACACATGTGACTGCAGGTCACCCCAAACACACTATACACATGTGACTGCAGGTCACCCCAAGCACACTACACATATGTGACTGCAGGTCACCCCAAACACACTATACACATGTGACTGCAGGTCACCCCAAACACACTATACACATGTGACTGCAGGTCACCCCAAGCACACTACACATATGTGACTGCAGGTCACCCAAGCACTATTTGTATAACTGGAGAATGAGGAATCAACTAGGGAGAAACAATCACAGATTTTTTCCCACATAATGAGACTCACCACCCAGAGCTCAAACAACCTAAAGTGCAGACAGTGATTGGCCGAGGTAGAGGGTGAGGGAGAGCTGGAGTCAAGGAAAAGGAGACAGAGACCTTGGCTGGGCTGGCTCCCTAGAAAAGGCCACCAAGGAGAAGGGGCAGGTTGGATGAGCTCAGGGTAGGAAGGGGACTTGTGTGACCTGAGATGTTACACAGAGACGGTACAGGGTGGCAGACATGATGAATCTCGGTGTTTAGAAGCCGACAGTAGGGAACCAGAAGTGCAGGAAGTCACGGGCTTCTTGGAAGTCACGGGCACCGGAAGTCAGGGCACCGGAAGTCACGGGCACCGGAAGTCACGGGCACCGTGGGCACTGACGGTGGGGTGGGGCTGAGGGCTAAGAGCAGAGCCCTAGACACAATGTGTCGGGAACTTCTCTGCTACTGTGACTAAGCACCACAGTTTACAGAAGGAGGGGCTTCTTTGGGCTTAGGGTTCCGGAGGACTAGAGTCCATCATGGCAGGACAGCGGGCAGCAGGCAAGCAAGTCTGGGCAGAAGCTGAGGGCTCACATCTTGAACCACAATCACGAAGCAGAGAGAGCAGACTGGGACTAGGGCAAGGATTTAAGCTTTCAAAGTCTGCACCACTGACATACTTCCTACAGCAAGGCCACACCTCCTAAGCATCCCCAGAGTCACAACTGGGGATCAAGTGTTCAGGTTCATATGCGTGAGTTTATGGGGGGATATTTTCATTTAAACCTCCATATACATCAGTTAATCAAGAGGCAGAGCAGAAAGAGATACCTGAGTGACGCCTTAGTGTCCCACAGCTGTGACCAACTAAATGTAAGGATTGTTTTCATTTCTGGGTGAGTCTATCCTTAAAGGAGGGAGGGAGGGAGGCAGGGAGGGAGGGAGGAGGGAGGGAGGGAAGAAGAGAACAGATGCTTTTTTTTCCGAGACAGGGTTTCTCTGTATTATTTTGGAGGCTGTCCTGGAACTCGCTTTGTAGACCAGGCTGGCCTCGAACTCACAGAGATCCTCCTGCCTCTGCTTCCTGAGTGCTGGGATTAAAGATGTGCAGCACCAACACCCGGCCCACGTTCAGAAAAGACATGCCACCTTAATTAATATCCTTTTGAGAGACCCTCCCAGACATACCCAGAAATATGCTTTTCTAATCTCAACACTCAAGTGACAATCAAATGAACATCCCAAGCTTACCCCTATCAACCTGACAGCAGGACTCCCCTATCAGACTTAAACCACAGCATTCCACCCTGTCCTCATGCCCAATAGTCTCGGTACATCAACAGTTCCCACAGCCTCCCCAAGAGTCCTAAGATGGTTCAAAGCTCAAGTTCAAATTCCCTTCTGAGATTCAAGGCAAAGTGTTGTCTGTAAGCCCCTTTAAAATGAGGAATAAAATAACAGGGCTGAGAAATGACTCAGCAGTTAAGAGTGTTTACTTCTTTTGCAGAGAACCCGGGTTCTGGTCCCAGCATCCACTGTACACAGCTCACAACCACCTGTAACTCCAGCATCCAGGAGATCTGCTGTCTCTGCACTCTGAGGTAACTGCACACAAGTGCCCCCTCCCCAAATACACGCGTGTGTGTGTGTGTGTGCGTGTGTGTGTGTGTGTGTGTGTGAGTGATTAAAATAAATCTTTAGGGGAAAAAAAGCAAGTTACATGCTTTCATATACAATGACACAGGTAAACAGAAAGGGAGAATACAGGAAAGCATGAATCAAAGAGGAACAAAATCTATAAAATCTGTAAGGGGAAACATTAAATCCTATAGTTTCCACCCCGAGTATCAGAGTTCTCACGACTCCCATCGCCCCACCCATGGTCTTGCGATTTAACTCACGTGGCCTCCTTTTGGTTGGCTCCACTTGCTGCTTGTGGATTCCTTGGCAGAGGTTCTGTGTTCCTGGCATCGCCAGCATCCTGGGGGCTCCTTTGCAGCTTAGACTTTGCTGTTACAGTGTTACACATTACCCACAGGGGACTGACTATGGGGATCTGGGCACCTCCTGATCTTCCTGGCTCTCCTTTGAAGTCTGGATGGAAGCCTCCATGGCCCCACAGCTCATATTTTGCTCATCTGCAAAGGTCTGCGCCTCAACCGAATGCAGTTGGGCCTTCTTAGACAGTGGCTGCCAGAACCTTGAGTGCTTGGGGAGCTCAGCACAGTAAAGAGCCATGGGGAAACAACTTCCTTGTGCTGGAAGGGCACCCAAGAGACACCATCTCAAGAGAAAGTCTTTCAAATGAATTTACTCTTTCATATCCTTCAGCCTATTATGGGTGAAGTCTGGCCAGTTCTCAAGAACTGGCCTCCAGGCATTTTTCCTACTGTCCCAAAACAAGGGATTTAGCTTTTTTTTTTTTTTTTTTTTTTTTTTTTGGTTTTTCGGGACAGGGTTTCTCTGTGGTTTTGGAGGCTGTCCTGGAATTCGCTCTGTAGACCAGGCTGGTCTTGAACTCACAGAGATCCGCCTGCCTCTGCCTCCCAAGTGCTGGGATTAAAGGCGTGCGCCACCAACGCCCGGCGGGATTTAGCTTTTAAATAGCCTTAACCATATCTGTCTGTCTGTCTGTCTGTCTGTCTATCTATGTGTGTATCTATCTATATATCTATGTGTCTATCATAGCTTCAACTTTTCCAAGCTTTTCTGATTGAGCAGCATATTTTGAGTCATTCTGCTTTCTGATCCTCATTTCACCATAAACCTGGCTAACAGTAGCCAGCAATGGCCATGCCACAGCCTGAACTCTTGACATTCCTTCTGTCAAATGAATTATCCTGTCACTGTGTCAGAGCACAGACAGCAGGAGAACAAATGCTTTGCTAGCATGGCACAGGAGTGGCATCTAGTCCAACTCCCAGCTCAGACCTTGTTCCTATCACAAACTTCACAAGTACATCTTCAGCGTCCACGCTCCTGCGGGCATGATAGTCTTCTGAGCGTCTATCAGAACTACCTGCTAGCTCTGTCGACATCATCCTACAGGTTATTTAATGTGCATGTCACTTTGTCTGTTTTTCACGACATGGTTTCTCTGTGTAGCTGTGGAGCCTGTCCTGGAACTCCCTCTGTAGACCAGGCTGGTCTCGAACTCACAGAGATCTGCCTGCCTCTCATATGCTGGGATTAAAGGTGTGGGCTGTCATGCATGATCAATTCATTTGTGGAGACAGGGTCTTCACAGGTATCCCAGGCTGGCCTGAGGGTTGTGCTCCCCTGCCTCTGCCTCCTGAGTGTGGAGTCTCCAGGGACACAGCACACTCAGCCTGCATTTCCAGACCTTTCCTGGTAAAGCGAGTAAGAGTCATGTGGTCAGGTTCAGGACCCTCAGCAACTCTGTTCCATGTGCTTGTCCCGTGACAAAGAAAACTTGAAAGGGGGATGCTTCTTTTGGCTTGTGGCTTCGCAGGCACCGCACGTGGGGGACCCGGTGGAGCAAGGTCGCTTAATCACCCCAGCCAGGAAGCAGAGCAAGTCTGCCAGGGCCCAGACGGCCTCCTCTCTCCCATCTTGGCCTGGAGCTTACTGGATGTTGTCACTGAAGGTGGGAAAGACCTTCCTCCCCACTTTCCCACAAGTGTGCAATGGCTAACCCAGGTGCTTTTCCAGCCAGTCAACAATCAAGGCTGACTATCAGTGGGGCCTTTAATCCCAGCACTCAGGAGGCAGAGATGAGCAGAGCTCTGTGAGTTTGAGGCCAGCCTGGTCTACAGAGTGAGTTCAAGGCAGCCAGGACTACACGGTGATGCTCTGCCAAAGAAAGAAAGGAAGGAAGAAAGAAAGAAAGAAAGAAAGAAAGAAAGAAAGAAAGAAAGAAAGAAAGAAAAGAAAGACAGGCTGGAGAGATAGCTCAGAGGTTAAGAGCACTGACTGCTCTCCCAGGGGTCCTGAGTTCAATTCCCGCCAGTCACATGGTGGCTCACAACCATCTATAATGGGGTCTGATGCCTTCTTCTGGCCTGCAGGCATGTAGATAGAGCACTCATACATAACATACATATATAAATAAAAAAATTTTAAATGACTATCCAGGGGCACCTACCAAAGAAATAGGGTGTCATTGAGTCCAGGAGGTTGATTTGGGTTTCCTTCCCATGAGGCATTAGGGTGGGTCTGCCCTAGGAAATGTACAGAGAACAATTGACAGGAGGAATGCTGGGAAGTGGGGACAGGAGAGGTGGTAGGCACTGGAGGGGTTGGAAAGGGGAAGATGGAAGGAGTGGGGGATGGGGGCTAGGATACAGAGAGGTCTGGAAGAGGCTACAAAGTTTGCCTCCTTCTGATGGACAGGTCGAAGGAAGACAGAGAAGTCAGGAAGTCTACCCATCAGTCCTCAGAAGCAAGCCAAGCAAGGTTCAGGGTGAGGTGGATGTCCCTGGGGAGGACTACATGGAGGAAAACCAGTAGGTTGGCCCGGGGATCCTCATGGTGACCAGGAGGAACACTGAGTGGGTGCAGAAGGGTGCTGAGTGATCCCAAGAACCTCAGAGGAAGGAGAACGGTGGCCCATCCCTGGTGGGAGATGGGCAGAACCACCGAGGTGAAGGACTTCAGGGGTGGCATGGAAATATCAAGACACGGAGAGGGGGGCAGGAAGGAATGGAGGAGGGGAGAGCGAGAGACAGCTAAGCCTGTTGGCACCCTGCACCCCGGGCTCCATCACAATCACTCAGGTGGGCACTTGGACCTGGCGCCTCTGGAGGCTGTTCTAGCTGTCTTGCCAGGGCTGTGAACAGGGAAAGGTCAGGAGAAGCCAGGCCCATATGCAGGTGCAGGAGGCGTGTGGTGGACACAGCGGTGGCCATTGGTTCCTGGATGCTCAGAGGCTCATAAGAGCCTCTGTTGGCAAGGGCGTCTGGAAAGCCTCAGCCTCCTCTTCCAAGCCACCTGCTGTCTGTTGCCCCTGCCAGCCCTGGATGCCTGGGGGAGCAGACAGGATAGACCATTTCCCTGGACCCCAGCTGGGTGAGGGCAGCTGGTTGCGCTGATGGCTCCTGCTTTTCTCTTCAGTATCTTCTACCCAGAAGTGGGCAGCCAAGCCCCACCGTGTCCTATCTGTCCTCTCAAGGGCTGCAGAAGCTAGGAGAACACCTTCCTCTGCATGAGTGTGCTGTGCTCCCCATGGGTGTGCTGTGCTCCCCATGGGTGTGCTATGATCCCCATGGGTGTGTTGTACTCCCTATGGGTGTGCTGTGCTCCCCATGGGTGTGCTGTGATCCCATGAATGTGCTGTGATCCCCATGGGTGTGCTATGCTCCCCATGGGTGTGCTGTGCTCCTCATGGGTGTGCTGTGCTCCCCATGGGTGTGCTGTGCTCCCCATGGGTGTGCTGTGCTCCCCATGGGTGTGCTGTGATCCCCATGGGTGTGCTGTGATCCCCATGGGTGTGCTGTGATCCCCATGGGTGTGCAGTCACACACAACACTCAGGACATTCTGAAAGCACATGGAGACAAACACAGACACTAGCACATCCAGAAACACCCGTGCACATCTGTGTGTGTGGGCACATGTGTGAAGATATGTGAAACCATGAAGGTGGTCATAGAGATGATGAGGCCGCACATACAAACACACAAAGATACACAAGCATGTATATTGTTCCATACTCACCCATCTCTCTGCATCCACACACAAATGCAGCCTGAAAACCAAGTTCCAGCAGGCACACACAGGCACATGCAATACACACACAGGTGCCTGTGGACACAGACACACACAGGTGTGCCAACCCACACTTAGCAGTGCAGACATGGAATGGCACGCACACACGCACACACACACACGCACACACGTGCGCATGCACACACTCACACACACACACACGCACACTCCTGCAGACCCGCACATCAGGTACCACCATGTCACAGACATGGCACTTACCTGCCACCCCCGCAGACATATATGTGTCCTTGCACATGTCTATAGATACACTCAGGTGCACGTGTTCCCACTCCTCCAAATGCTCCCCGAGGGCACAGGCCCTGGCCCCTGAGTCACACAGACACCCTGATCCTCAGCACAGACACCCACTATGTAGAATACTGAGAGCTCTCGCATTCCCACAGAAGGTTGCCCCAGGCATTCATCTGTGGGACTCTGCAACATCCCAACTGGGGACTAAACCACCAACTGTCCTAAGCCAGGGAGCTTCAGTCTCTCTGCAAATCATGAAGCAGTCCTGTCCCCCAAGTCAGTCTGTTCCCTATCTTTCCGTTTCTCTTGCCAGCCAGCCAGGAGAGACACCTACCACCCATCTCTTCACACTCCAGGTTTCCAGATCCCAGAGGGGAGGGGGGACAGCAACCCAACGTTCCTTTCTTCCCATCCATCTAGCGCTGTCACCCTTTGGCGCCAGGCCAGGGTTGCTGCGGTCGGCAGAACGGCTAACACTTCTCTTGTCCCAAAGGAGATCAGATCCTGAGGACCAACTAGCCCTATAGCACCCACTGTGAGAAAGGCCAGGAAAGCAGGGAGAGGGCCGGGGCGGACATGCCCCTTAGACCCAGCTCATTTGCCCATCTGTTTTTGTTAATAGAGATATTTTAAAAGACTCTATTTTATCTTCATTGTTCTGTCTGTGTGTGTATGCCCATGGAGGCCAGAAAAGCTCAGATCCCCAGGAACAGGAGCAGCAGGTGGTCATAACGCACTTGATATGGATTCTGGGAACAGAACCCAGGCTCTGTGCAGGAGTGTATACTCTTAACTGCTAAGTCATCTCTCCAGTGCATGGGGGGTTTGTCTGCTTGTTAGTTTTTCTTCATTTTGAAGCTCACAGGCAATTTTATTACAGTTTAAAAGAAACCCTCCAGCCAGACCTAGAGACACATACCTTTAATCCCAGACCTTGGGCGGCAGAGGCAGGTGGATCTCTGTGAGCTCCAGGCTAGCCTCATCTGCATGGTGAATTCTAGTCCAGCTGGGTTATACATCATGACTCTGTCTCAAAAAAAAAAAAAAAAAGGAAATAAAGCAAGCCAACACACTGCAGGGCAGTAAGCTGCCAATGGCAGCAGCTGCCCAGGGGGAGATCCATGGAGAGGAGACAGAAAAATCCATGCCCTCTGAGCCTGCATGGAGGTCAGCCATGTTGTAGACCAGCAGCCACATGGTGGAGATGTGGCTTTAAAAGAAAGAGTGAAAAACCCCAGGGACAGGGAAATAGTAGGACTGAGGCTCTGACCAGCATCTAAAACGTGGAAGAAGATAAGAGAAAAGGAAAGTCATACCTTCCTGAGTCAGGACTCGGGACGGTGGACAAACCCAACAGGACCTCACTGTGGCTCCGTAGCAACCACTTGTTTTGGTTTTGACAGGATTACTTGCAACCTAGTTTAGCTGCAAACTAGCTACATAGAAGAGGATGACCTTAAACTCTCCATCCTCCTGCCTCTGCCTCCCAAGTGCTGGCCACTGGCAGACAGCACCTCCATACTCAGGCTTCCTGTGCACTGTTGATGGAACCCCGGAAAATCTCCCTGATCAGCCGAGCCTTCTACCACCAGAGATCACGTGGGACCAACACAGGAGCCCTGCAGTCCAGTCTTAGCCTTGGACTGAAACAGCAGAGGAACCCAGTAAAAGAAGTGGGCTGAGACTCCCTGCTGTCCAAACTCCTCCCTTGCTCCCTGAGTTACCCCAGCAGTGGCAGAACCCAAGCCCATGGTCTTTCCTGCCCGCCTCTAGGCAGTATCTTCCCCTCCCCCCACACTGATTTTTTTCCCAGCTGCTCTAAGCTACCCAGTCTTGTTCAAGTTGGCCTTAGTGTTCCCTGGTGACTGACCTCCCACCCAAGCCTAGTGCTACCCTTCAGCCCCAAGAACTCACCATGGGTTTGTGGAATAGGGTAGAACGATGGTCTAATCCTCAACTTACCCCTTGGGAGCGAGGGGCTGTCCTGTTCTCAGTGGCACACACTACACCCAGGACAGACAGCTCCTGGTGTTTCATGAAAATGTGCAGTGTTAGCAGGCTGGTGCATACCCCACAATTCAGGAGGCAGAGGCAGGAGACTCAAGAGGTCAAGCTAGCCTGGGCTACATACAAAGAACTTCCTTTTGTTGTTTTAACCCCACCAGCCCACATGTGGCTGGCAGATAGGCAGTAGAGACCCCTCAGGAGACACAGGCCCACCGCCTCTACACAAAAGCATAGAAGGCCAGGTCAGGCCGACTTGCTGCAGTTCACATCATGGTGAGAAGGGTGAAGCCAGGGTCAGGATTAGAACCCAGATCCCTCCTCCAGGCTGGAGCCTCCCTCCTCTCCTAGCTGTGGAGATCAGAGGTGGGTGCAAGCTGCCATCTCCCCGTCCCAAGCTGTGAATCTCTGCTCAGTATGGCTAGGAGGCCCAGGCTGACTCCCCCAGCCTGTGCCCTGAAAAGCCAGGCCACTCCAACCCACTCCCCAGCCGCTCTCCCTTCCCGGTTCAGGGTTCTGGAGGTTGCCCTTGCTGACTTGGTTTCCTTATCTGGAAGGCAGGATGTCACATCTCTGGGAATCTCTGCAAAGAGTCGGTGCTTCTCATAACGTGCATAAGCATCCAGGTTGAGTCAGACGTCCCAGCGGATGAGGAACTTGCCACACAGCCGGACAACATGAGTTTTCTCCCCAGGACCTGTGCTGTGGAAGAAGGGAACCCACCCCCGCCAGCTGTCCTCTGACCTCCGCACGCACACCATCTCACACATGTGTCACTCACACACACTAAATAAATAAATGTAAACGATAAAAATAAATTGCATAGACATTCCCAACATGCCGGCTAGAGGCTTCTCCCAGACTCAAGATTCAGGAACGACCCCAGCCCCGGTTTACAGACAAGCAGCTTGAGACTCAAAACTTTCCCAGGCGCCCGAGCTGTCCCTGAGCCCTCGGCAGTGGCAGGCCTACGGAGGAGGACAGGGCGGTCAACCGCGCGCCAATCGGCAGCGGGGTGAGCGGGAGCAGGGGGATGCCCGGGAGTGCCGGGGAGGCCCCGCCCCCAGGGCCCGGCCGGGGTCTGCAGCCGTCAGCGACGAGCGCGGCCCCGCCGAGGGATCGATAACTAATTTCAGCGCCGCAGCCGCCCGGGTTTTTTCCCGATAATTGCGCGCCGGCAGCTGCGAGCCAGGCCCCCAGCCCGCCGCGCGCCCCCGCCCGCGCGCGATCAATTGACACCGCCACCGGGCGCCGGGAAAACTCATTTTTCTCTCCCTCCCCGGCTCCCGGTGGGCGCGGGCTAAGCTCGAGGTGGCCGGGTTGGGGGTGGCCGTGAGGCCTGGGCAGGGGCGTTCGGCTGACCTTCTGCTTCTCCAGAGGGAGCTAAAGATGCACCTGCCACCCCAGACTGGAGAGAGGCGGGACAAGAGGAAGGACCCAGAAGGCAGTGGGTTCAGATCTAGACTCCACAGCCTACTACTGAGAGCCTCGGTTTCCCCCTCTTCCTGTAGTAGGGTCCTGGCACGAGGTTAGACCTGTGAGGTGGCTCCCAGGAACAGCACATTGCGTGGTGTTGTTTAGAGCAGAGAGTGTTTTGTCGGTTGCCAGCCTGGCTTAGAGCAACTACCATGTGCCTGGCCTGGTCTAGGCGTTTCTAAACAAGGAAGTCAAGAATCTCCGCCTCCCTGCAACTGGCTTCTAACGGTAGGATGAGCCATAAAGCAAGGAAAGAGAGAGATAGCAAGGGCCAAGGAGTCCAAAACAAGCCGAGGTAAACAGGGTAGACTGGGGGACATCGCAGTGTAATCCCGACACCCAGCCGGGACCAACCTGCAGGGCTCAGCTCTGAGGCCCCTCCCCGGGCTCTCCCAGCCAAGCTCAAAGCTGCTGCCTGTTCAAGGTCGCAGGAAAGCTGCAGACTTGGCATTCTCTGCGGAGGGAGGGTGGAGGAGGGAGAAGCCGGCCGTGGGTGGGAGTCTCCCTATGGGAGAGTCCGTGAGATGGAGAGAGAAAGCAAAGGCGCTGGAGAGCAGGGTGGGGGTGGGTGCCCACCGACAGAAAAGCAGACAGATGCTGTTTGTAGCCAAGGACTCCTGGATCCTGGGGGCTGAGCTCCAGAGAGAGGTTGGGGACCACCCCCAAGGTCACAGAAGACCGAGTTGGGCTCCTGTGTCCTGCGCCCCAAGCCTGGAAGAGAACAAGAGAGGCTGAGGAGAAGGAGAAAGATGAAGAGTCTTGTGTGGGGAGGATGGGGCCTTTTCATTGGGCAGAGGCCACAGGGCTTCCCGGGAGCCACGTGGAGGATTCAGGATGACTGACAGGGCCTCCGGGAATCAGATGTGCTGACTGGCCCCACCCCACCCCCAGTTTCCAGAAACCCAGCAAAAGAGGCTTAAGACTCCCTCTGTGGCGGTGAGGGAGCCAGGCAGGGGTAGAGGACCTCTGCTGCGGGGGGAGTGGTGAGATCAGGACCCTGCCCGCCTGCCTCGGTTTCCTCATCTCAGACGGGGGCTGATGGTAAGGCCCCAAGGGTCCCGATGCTTTCCTTCCTTTTGTGTTTCTGTCTCTGGGACAAGCCCAGTGCAGTGACTCAGCCAACAGGGGGAAGGAGACTGCTGGCAGCCAGGGTGCTGGCTGTGCTTGGGACTCAGGACAATACAGAGCTGGGTGTCACCCCCCTGCTGGTCCCTTTGCCCACACATCCATCCACACATCCATCCACTCATCCAGCCAGCCCTTCTCCTACCTAAATGTTTACCAGGCTATTTGACAAGGACTGGGTAAGTATCTGCTATGGGGAGGCACCATGTGTGGTCAACACCAGGCTTCCCCATCCCCCCCCCCACCCTGTTCCCACAGATCTACCTTTCTTATCCTTTGAAGCATGATCAGGAACACCAGACTGAGAGTCGTGTGACCTAGCCAGGCCCAGTGAACTCTCTGTGTCTTGGTTAGTGAAGGAACCAAGAGTGGAGCGCTTGTCCTGTCTGGCAGAGCTTGGCTCTGGATGAACAGTATGCCCAGGTGAAGGCCTTCCACCTAGGATTCTGCATAGCCCCTCAGTCTGCCAGAATGACAAGAGGGAATCAAGACCAAGGGCAGCTCAGAGTCTCACAGCTAGGGGGCCAGAAGGAGTAAGCTCGGGTCTGTCTGACCCCAGAGCCTGCCCCTTACCGGGGACCGTGGCATCCCAGACAGAAACTGGCCACGGGGAATAGCTCAGGGTCTCGGAGCTGTTTGTCCTTCCCCTCAATGGTAGCTCTGGCTGCCATCCACCTCCAAAAGGCCTCTGTGGGTCAAAGCGGCAGCTGCTCTGCGTAACCATCTGGTGACTTTGGCCTCTTGGACATGCCCAGGACCAGTGCAGCAGGCAAGCATCACTTTGGAGAGTCAGGAGGCCTGCAGTCAAAGCGAGACAGGAGGACCAGCCACCTCCGCTGTCCTGTGCTGTGCCCTTGGGGGGGTCCCAGCACCCCAGGTGTAAAACGGGCATGGTGGCTGATTGAAAGGAGTCCACTATGCTAAGACCAAGGGATATATTCATTTGATGGCTAGGGAGGGTTATAGCAGGATATGGTCACAGTGCCTATTGGTCTTCCCTAGAGCAATAGCTTAAATAAAGATACTGGAGCTAGCAACTAGGGGCAGCATCCTGAGCCAGAGCTAACCACAGTGATGGTTTTGTGTCCCCAGGCACTGGACACACGGTCTAAGGACCCTGCCATGGGTGGGTTTGTGTTTCTCCTCACATAGCTCTAGTCTGCCAGGCAGAAATCCTGGTTATCTGGGACAGGAGGGAAAGGAAAGGGGAGACTTTTTCCTCCTGGCACAGCTCGGGACTCATTGAACTAAAAGCCATGGCTCCACCTGATGACAATGGGGTCTTTGAACCAGGGCCAGCAGGCAAAGACAGGAGTTGCCATTCTGTATGGGAATCACCTGTGACGGTTTCCGTACATTTTTGTAGAAAAAATCTTTGCAGGATCCTCAGGCTGTCAGGGCCTTTTCAAAGGGGGCTCTTGGGAGCCGGGCCAAGTTATGGTTGCTAAAGCGGATCTGCAGTCCTTGGCTTGGTGGCATAGCCCAGCTCAACTGTGGAACCAGCCCCTGTGGCTCAGGCACGATGCCCACATCTCGCCTCCTTCTCTGATGCCACCAGGTAGAGGCACCGTCTCCACAGAAACCTCACAAACACACAGAGGTGGGCGGAGGAGGGGACCCGAGAGCAAGGTACTGCCAGGCGTGAGTTTGACGCGTTGCCATGATGAAATGCGTGGCACACAGCTCAAGGAAGGGAAGATCTGATGTATCTCACAGTTGGGAGCTACAGCCCATCATGGTGGGGACATCATGAGAGCAGAACCTTGAGTTACCTGGTGTCACATTGCGTCTGTAATCAAGCAGCAGAGGGATGGGCGGGCGCTTACTCTTTAGCTGTCTCCTTTCCATTGAGTCCAGCAGACAGCTAACCTAATCCAGACGGTCCCTTACAGGCATGTCCGGAGGACCGGCTCCTTGCTGATCTAACCCTATCAATATTGCATCTAGAATCAATAGCAACCATTGCAGAGGCCTTTGAACAGACCATTCTGGTGGCTCCAAGGGCTGCCCCACCCACGCTTCAGCCACGGAGACTCAACGGTGTGCACATTAATTCTCTCCCCTGCTGCCTATTACTTGCCCGCCACCCTTTACCCTTACCCCTAGGGGCACCCCCCAAAAAAAAAACAGCCTTTCTTTAAAGCCTCCTTCGAGAGAACCTAGACCAAGACTTAGGGCAAATGACCTCAAATCGACAGGTGGGAGTCCTAACCCCCAGTACTTGGACTGTGACTTCAGTGAGGCTGAAAAGGAGGTAGGGACAGAAAGATCACAGTCCAAGGTCATCCTCAGCTACTTAGTGAGTTTGAGGCCAGCCTGGACTACATGAGATCCTGTCTCAAAACAATCAAACATGCTGGGCGTTGGTGGCGCACGCCTTTAATCCCAGCACTTGGGAGGCAGAGGCAGGCAGATCTCTGTGAATTCAAGACCAGCCTGGTCTACCGAGCGAGTTCCGAGTTCCAGGATAGCCTCCAAAACAATACAGAGAAACCCTGTCTCGAAAAACCAATACATAAATAAATAAACAAATAAATAAAAATCAAACATACAAAAACGTGGCTGTGTTTGGAGATCAGGTCGTTGGTCTGAATGTCACCCTCCTACTGCCTCCCTGTTAAACTGCAGTCTCTATTGTGGACGGAATTAAGAAGTAGTGGCCTGGCCGGGCGTTGGTGGTGCATGCCTTTAATCCCAGCACTCGGGAGGCAGAGGCAGGTGGATCTCTGTGAGTTTGAGGCCAGCCTGGTCTACAGAGCGAGTTCCAGGACAGCCTCTAAAGCCACAGAGAAACCCTGTCTTGAAAAAACCAAAAAAAAAAAAAAAAAAGAAGTAGTGGCCTGGGCTGGAGAGACGAAACAGGCGTTCAAAGCACCTGCTGTTCTTCCAGAGTTTGGTTCCCAGCACCCATATCCCCGGCTCACAATCCCCTGTAACTCCAGGTCCAGGAGATCCAATGGTCTCCTGGGGTATCTGTACTCATATATATATATCCCTCTCCCCACATACATACACATAATTCAAAACTCAAAAGGGGCGGGGAGAGATGGCTCAGCAGTTAAGAGCACTGGCTGCTCTTGCAGAAGACCCAGGCTTGATTCTCAGCACCAGCATGGAGGCTCACAGTCTAAAACCTGTAACTCAGGTTCCAGGGGATCCAACGCCCTCTTCTGGCCTCCATGGACACTGCGGGCACACAGTTCATACACATCATGAGGTCAAACACTCTTGTTTTGTTTTGTTTTGTTTTTTGAGACAGGGTTTCTCTGTGTAACAGCCCTAGTTGTCTGGAACTTTCTTTGTAGACCAGGCTGGCCTCAAACTCACAGAGATCCACCTGCCTCTGCGCCCCCCCCCCCCCCCAGTGCTGGGATCACAGGCTTGTGCCACCACCTCCCAGCTTGAGGCAAAACACTCTTAAGCATAAAATTAAACAAACAAACAAAAGTAGTGAGCTTTGGAGGTGGGAGGCTCTGGCACCAGGAATGGCCCTTACGGAAGAGGCCTGGGGGAACACCCTTGCCCCTCCCTCTCACAGAGTCAGGTCCCCAGCAAGAAAAGGAACCGGGAAGCAGGTCTTCCCCACGCATGTGCCTTAATCTTCGCCCCTACCACTATCTGGGCTGCCAGCGGAGCTGCTGTTTGTAAGCCTCCCTACCAGCGCCATTTGTTACGGCGGAGCAGACTGAGCTCTGAGGTCTTTAGAGAGCTGCATCTTTGAAAGGCGGCCATTCAGAGGGCGCAGATCCGGCAGAACTGGCATTTTCCGGAGGGGAGGAAAGCGAGGCTCAGACACCCACAGAAGGAAGGCCCCACACACAGTGGGGACTGCCACCCGCAAACCCTACTCGCCATCCGACTCAGGCATCGGGTCCCAGGACTATAATGAATTTAGGTTGTCCTTCGGATTGTACCCCAGCCCGGACCCCAACTGGGGTCTCCTCAGCAAGGTGAATGCCCTTAGCTCAAACTGTGCCCCAGGACCCAGAGTGTCTCCTCCTGGCTTCTAGAAGCTTCTCTGTGCTCCCTCCTTCAGCCTTGCTGGAGGCCTCTCCGCTCTGCTGGCTCATGCACTGTTTTCCAGCTCATTCCCATCCCTCCTCCCTTTAAAGGCTCTCCTGCCAGCTCCAATCTCTCCCGCCTCCCCTCACCCCTTCCAGGCAGGCCCTCAAAGTGCTCTCTACAGATTCTTTTTAAGGCCTGCTGCAAACCAGGGCACAGTGCCCTCGGAGAGACCGTGCCCTGTGCCTTCCCCCAACACTGCTGCTGAGTGAAGGTGGCAGCCTCCCTGCCCGTGCTGAGCCTGGTGCCATGGACCTCGGAGTTGTCTCCCTCCTGTCCCTGCATCAGGACCAGCAATGTCTCTATTTTACACAGGAGGATCCAGGGCCCAGAGAGGAAGGGCCTCTGCATAAGGAGGCCCAGCAGTTAAGTGCTGACTGGATTCCTCCCCCGGCCAGGAGTAGCAAACTCAGAGAACAGGAAGGGGTGAGTCTCAAGTGACTGAGCCGACACAGGCCAGGTAGTAATGGCTGGGGGTGGGGTGGGGCGCATGTCATGAGCCCGATTACCCACCATGCCTTCACCCCTACGCTTACTCTGGTGGAAACCCTGAAATGAAACCCTAGGGCACTCTGTGGAGACCCTGTGTGGCAGCCTTTTTTTTTTTTTTTTTTTTTTTTTTTGGTTTTTCGAGACAGGGTTTGTTTCTCTGTGGTTTTGGAGGCTGTCCTGGAACTCACTCTGTAGACCAGGCTGGCCTCGAACTCACCGAGATCCGCCTGCCTCTGCCTCCCAAGTGCTGGGATTAAAGGCGTGCGCCACCACCGCCCGGCGTGGCAGCTAGTTTTATGCCCACTTGGCATGAGCTGAAGTCATTTGAGAAGAGGGAACTCCAAGATCGACTTGTGATTGACACTGTGGGCGGTGCCTCCCTGGGCAGGCGCTCCTGAGTGCTGTAAGAAACGGGCGAGCGATCAATGAGGAGCAAGCCAGTAAGCTGCACCCCTCCACGGCCCCACCTTGAGTCCCTGCCCCGACTTCCCTCAGCGAGGGAGTGCCACCTGAGAGTTGAAGCTCCCCAAATCTCGTTTGGTCATGGTGTTTATCCCAGCAACAGAAAGCAGACTGTTACCACCTCAAAGATCCCTGCGCTGTTGAGGGACCACAGTCCCGGGTGAAGTCCCCAATAACAGGGCAGGCCAGATCTTGAAGCCCCACGTGGGTAGCATGAGGAACAGCAGGTGTGACTGGCTGACCACGATGGGCACTGGAAGCAATGTTAGACTCAGGCAAGCCGTGGGACTGTTTGACCTCTGGGGGGGAAGCCAGAAGTAGTGGCCTTAGACAGTTCCAGAATGGGGGCGTGCAGCCTGAGGGAACAGCATAGGGCTTAGGATGGACAGGGAGCCGGGGTGGCTTCAGGAAGCAGTGGAGAAGGCCCCCAAGGACTGTGCTGTGTGGGGCCTTGAACCATGATAAGGACGGTGTCTGGGGCCGGGTGGTGCAGCACTCGCCTGTGTGCGCAAAGGCCCCGGGTTCGCCTTTGCAAGGAGGCAAACAGAAACAGAGCCGCTTGTCTTTCTCTAGCAGGGTTATATTTAAGGTCCCTGTCTGGAGGCTGTGGGCTGGAAGAACACCAGAGAAGGCGAGGGGGGGCGCAGAGGGAGGAAACAGAGCGGGCCACAGACCTCAGACCTTAGGGGAGGGGACTGTCTGAGAGGACGGGGCAGCGTGTTGCCAGCTGAGGGACACAGGGGCAGAATGGCAGAGATGCCCGCTTTGTGACTTCCCCGGAGTGGAGAACAGGTTCCCCTGTACACAACAAACCCGAACCGACCACCCAGTGCTGAGAGCTGAGGGGGACATGGGCCTGCCAGCCCACCAGGGCATCCTGGGACATTCTGCAGGGTCCTGAATGTGGGAACAAAGCCTGTCCCAAAGCACTCTGCCAGTGAGCCACATCTTTGGGATCATTTGCAGCTCGGGCGGTGTAGGAAGTGCAGTGTGGTATTTGGGGCATTTTATACAGCACGGGATTAGTGTCAGAGAGGCAGAGTGCACACACACACACTAGCCAGTAAAGGGAGGCAGCCCCCCCCTTTCCTCTGACCTCTGTCTGGCCTGATAGAGACCGGGGCAGAAGTTGGGGGATGGGGATGCTGGACACAATGACTGTCTCAGCTCTGGTCCCCTGGTGACACTGGGAAGTTTCAGCCCCTCCTCCTATTTGGTGGAGGGGCCCAGGCTGTGCAGGTGGGGTCACAAAGAGGTCATGGAGGAAGGAGTCAGTGTATCCCTAGCTGCAGGCGCACTCTCTCTCCTTTCCCTCACATCTCCCGAGGTCACTCTTCATCTCCCTTACAGCCATCTCACACGTAAACCCGCCCCTGGTGACTGGCTCAGTCAGTCCGTTTTCCTCCTTCAAGGTATGATCTTTTCTCCCATCCTTTCTTTTGGTTTTTCAAGACAGGGCTTCTCTGTAGCTTTGGAGCCTGTCCTGGAACTTGCTCTGTATACCAGCCAGCCCGGCCTTGAACTCACAGAGATCCGCCTGCCTCTGCCTCCTGAGTGCTGGGCCTAAAGGCGTGCGCCACCAACGCCCTGCTTTTTCTCCCATCTTTAAATGCAGGGACAAGCCTTTGCGCCTGTGAGCTGCACTCCCGCCTCTGAGCAGCCTCCTTACCCAGACATCTGCATTCACTCAGCCAAAGGGTTCTGAGTCCCAGCTCTTGGGCAGGCTCCATGCCCCCAGGGTGCCCTCAAGAAGCACACAAACCCAAGAGAAGAGGGGATTTCCCCAGTGACTTACAGACTAGGCTTGTAGAACAGAGGAGCACTCAGGGGTACGGCCCCATGGTGCTTCAAGGAGGGGTAGGAGCAGTCACTCCGCTGAAGAAGGAGGTCAGCTACCTGAAGGAGGCCATGGCTTTCCAAGATCCAAACACAGAGCGGGAGGAAATCAGTGAGAAGGGAAAAGCGTTCCAGACAGAGGGAGCAGGGTGTTGCAAAGTCACGGCTCCCCCCGGACCTGGCTGGAGGTAGTGAGGTTGGGGAAGGCTGGACCACGTCCTTGGGCAGTGGCAAAGTGGGCATCCGCAGGGAGAGAGGACCGGCCTCCATAGCTCTGTGTCTTTTTCTAAAACACATTTTAATGATTTGTGTGTGTGTGTTACATGCACGTGAGTATGCCTGTGTGCACACATGAGGTGGTCAGGGCAAGACCCCAAAGGGCTTCCTCCATTGCTCTCCGGAGGGTTTCTCCTGGATCCCAACTCTGTCCACCCCTGCAGGCCTCGGCCTGATCCCCTAACTTTGCCATCTGCCCAAGACTCCGCCCC